AGAGTGACAGAGTTGACAGACTCACTTTATGACAGCTCAAAGCAGTTGTGCAAGAACACAGAAGGAAATGCATGTGAAAGCAGGTGGTGTCTAGACTGTCACACTCAAGAGACTAAAAGCAGAAAGGCCAAGAAAGACAGTGCTGGGCACATCTGCACTGGAGATGGGATGGTACATTCACATTCCTTGAAGGGCAGGATTAGAGGCTCCCTCATGGCATCTTGGTTTCTTCTGGTACTGAAATGTGGGCATACAGTGGCCACGCTCTGCTCTGTTTTTCCAGAAAGGGAACCTGGGCACACACACTGAATGGGAGCTGTGCTGCCCTGCAAACAGAGATATGAGCTAAGCCACAGGGGACCTTAGGGCACGACCTGATACAATCCAGCTGCTGCATGAACACTTGAGGGTCAGGTGCCTAGGCATGACCTTGGGACAGGACAGACTTGGCAAAGTCCGGGTTGAAGAAAGGAAAATTTCCAGGGAATCAGAAATAAAGATGCCACCTGTTACCTGCATAGACCTCAAGAGATTCACAAATCTCAGCATTGTGATTAAAGTTTAAGTGACAACCATCTTCTGAAGCAAAGACCTCATGGCAGGTAGATACGTTCAAAGCACAGGATTTTAGACTGTCACAATGAAATTTCGGTTTCTTTTTTTAAATCACTGCACTATCTCATTCACCTCACACGATGAGCCAGCTCTTGAGAGAAATAAGTGTGTAGAAAACACTGTTTCTCATGTTATTTAAGTTGATGGAAATGCCTGATTGCATAGAGGTGGGCTTAATTGTTCAGCTAGTCAAGCAGCGTTCTAGGGAAAGGGCTTCTCTGCTGCTATGAAGTTCCTTTGTGATGGTGGGCAGCTTAAGAGAATGAGCCTTTCCAGGCTTGATCACCCTTTCCAAATGGCTAACTTGATGCTTAGGGTTCTTGTTTCAAGAATGATGATCACGCCAAACCTGTTTAAAGTTATGGTTCAGATGGTTGTAAGCAAATGTTGAAATACAAAATAAGCAAGTCCCCATTAAATTGTGGACTCAAATACATGGCTGCCTCACAGCACTGCCTCTCCATGCTCCAGGTCCCCAGAGCTGTATACTGATTAACACCTTCTTACAGGCCTGCAACATTGTGCAAATGAATAATTTGTGTTTCACAAAGAAGACATTAAAATGAGAACTAGGGAGAAATGAGGACATTCATCCCCCATCAGGACTTTGCACAAATACATAAACACTGTGAACAGAAAGCATCATAGAAAATAAAATAATGAACAGCTACGAAGTGAGGATTCCAGGAAAAAATACTATGCTATTATGTAATTAATACAACCTTAATTGAGGTATTTCCTAATTTCAGGGTACTTAACTATACCTCTTTAATATTCCTTTCCTATACTGTTTTGCTGCATACATGACACACTGTTACAACTCCAGTGTCTCTCACACCTGATTCTTAATATTTGGGACAGGTATTCATATGAATTGATAAGAGATTTTTTGAGAATTAAGAATAGATACACTGCATTTAGTCTGTACTCAGTTTCTAAAATGGAAGTGAAACAGACACGCCAGTTTTGAAAATTTTACCTAAGCAGTTATTCTTCTCTTGGAGATTCAAATGAAGGAAAGTGGCATAGGATTTCAGCAAAACTCACTCATTTTTTACACTTACACAAGATCTAACACATCGAGTCTTGTCTCCAGCTCTTCCTGTTCTAAAAAAAAAAAAAAATAAAAAATGACATAATGCAGGTTCCTTGCAGAATTTAATCTCCTGTTTTAATGCCCAGTCTTGTTCTGTTTACCCTTGTAGTGTCATAAATTGTAGATGTAGTTGTACGACATTTTTTCTTCCTGGCCTGTTTTCCTAAAGAGTGCTCAGTAAGTTAAATATGCATGAAATTAAAGGTACATTTTTAATATCATCTTTAAAGAAAATCCTCCAAATGCCTCCCCCCAAGAAAACACCACACCATTACTTAGGATTATCTATTTATTTATTTCAGTTAAAACAAACATACAATGTTTCATTGAAACTGTGCTGTTGGCCAACAGTCTAGCCAACAACTGCAGCTGTACTGCTGGCCTCTACCAATACGGTGGGTATTTACATATGTACACAGATGTACCGCAGGATGCCCGAATTTGGCAGCCTAACAAATAGGTTAGATCGCAAAGGTTGTTAACTTGCTGCATTCAGGAAATCGTAACATCCATGGTAAATCTTAGAGGAAAAGTATACACGAACCTGAACAATGCTTTCTATGGACCCAAGTGATTCCTGTGTTTATTGCAACATATACATTTGTAGTAAATACAGTCTTAGTGTTTTATTACACACCTTTGGTGTAACACACTTCTTCCATTTCTGTAAGCATTATACTTTGTTGTAAAGGGCTCTTTCCTTTGACAGTTGTTATACAGATGTACAACATGAACAACTCCTTGAAATGATGTTACAATCAGTAATGAGAGAGGAATATATACATAAATCCTGGATTCCAAAGCTACATTATATACATTATACTTACAGTATATACACACATACAATTTAATTTATGTACATAGACTATCATAAATATTGAAAAATAGGTTTAGTTTTAATGGATTAATGTTTTATAAATAACATGTTACATTTATGACTGAAATATCATGGAAGACAGTAATGTCTAACTGAGGTGACAAAACAGTGGTTTAATACTGAAGCTGCTCTTTTAGGTGGTTTGTAATGTATGTAACTTTAAACAGACAGGTTTGGAAAAAATAATAATTAAAAAAATCATATGTTGGAAATCAACCCAGCCAAGTGGAACTCAACTGTTGCAGGTGGAGAGTCAGTTATCAAATAATACGACACACAATGTATAATCTGGAAATTGCTACATTCAGAAAATTAATGACATGTACAATACTTTAAGAGGTGTCATCACAAAAATCTTCCTCCTTTCTGGTTGTTGAGAAGGACTTTGTAGTAGCTTCTCATTTACAACTCCTTCCTTTTCTATGGTTACTGTGAGAAAGGAGGCTATTTCTCACTTTCTCTCCTCCTTTTTGAATGCTAGCAAGGGAAACACTTCATCCCTTATGTGCTACAAATTGCTCAAAGGCAGACAACATTTTAATCCTCTTCCACCTTTGCACATTTGTGGAGGAAGAAGAAAAGCTGCCAAAGTACTGAGGAGGCATGTGCTCAGCACTTCTGTGGAGATCAGGTAACACAGGATAGTTAGCCATGGATGTACAGTACCTGAGGCAGAGAAGTACCTAAGGAGTGTTAGTCAGTGCTGACTCCAGGATTGTTAATTGCCAGTTGAGTACCACCGAACTAATAATACAAATAACACATGAGAAATCTAACTTCTCATTACAGTTTTACACTATAGACTTAAGTGACCAGTACTTACAGTCATGCAGAAGTATCAATACAAAATACCTGCAGTTGTTTTTCATAGATTTTAAATGGCTGGGCAGAGATTGACATTATTTGCCAAACACTATTGTTTAGGCTTGTTTGATTAATTCTATAAGAGCAAAAAAGTCTCAGGCACTGTTTAATCAATGGATTACAGGCCCTTAGTTATTCCCTCTGACACAAAGACTGAGCAGACCTTTGTAAATAATTTTTTAAAACATTGTGTCAGATGAAGATGGTTGACCACATTGCCATGAGTATTTCATTAATAATCTCTCTCTAGGCTTTTGTACCCAATATTGCTGTGTTTGAGAACCTCTTGTAAGCCAAGTACGCTGTTACACAAGTGTTACCTCTCTTCAACCTGGGATAAGAATGAAAGAGTAAACATGCACTAGAAACAAAATAGCTCATCACAACCATACAGCACCTGTTTCGTCAGCTAAGGCTCATAAGAAACCTATCTATCTCTGAAGCAAACAAGTATGAGATGACTATCCGGCCTATGAGGTTATCTTTAATACTACTATACAGTATAAATTGGAAGAGGAATCCCAGTTATGTGTGTGAAGAGAGTTTGTACCAAGCATGAAATATTGGTGCAGTTATTTTGTGGATTTGACTCAGAAACAGAATAGTCAAGTAATTCAAAATCCAATAATGGATGAGGAATTTGAGAAATACTGTACAGTTTTTGAATATTATACAAGTAGTAGACTAATTTAGGACCTTTTTGTTTTCCTACAGTGTTTCAAGATATATTGGACAGAAAAAACCCTAACGGACATTACATTGCTACAACTGAAAATGGACCTTATTAATCAAGGGAATTTGAGGAGGGAGTTTTGTATTAATGGCATCCTATGCTCCAGTGCCATTCAGTTTATATCTACAATAGGAAAAAAAAAAACAAACCAACAAAAAAGCAAAAATCCCAAACCCTGTTTTACTCAATTGCACTACTGAGTACCTCAAGAAGGGAAATGCCAATGCCATCTTTACAATTTTTAGATTACCTAAGCTTTTCTCAAATGTACCCATTTCTAAAAGGTGGGGTTTTTTAAAGCTTGCAAATTAGGGTTTCCACACCATTTTTGGGTAATAAGGTAACTGTAGTTACTTAAGTAAGCTGACAAATGATTTTTAGGATTATTTTCACTCTAATTTGAACTAGGTGAATTTCATGGGAAGCATTTATTATCAGAGAGTTTTGACCTGTTTTGGTCAAAACAGGTCAGAAGCATTTTAAAAACAATTTCTTCTTATTATGCCTCTACAGAATCATAAAATATACTGAATTGCAAGAGACCCATCAGGATCACTGAGTCCAACTCCTTGCCCTGCACAAGACAGCCCAAGAATCACACCATGTGTCCAATAGCATTGTCCAAACGCTTCTTGAACTCTGTCAGGCTTGGTGCTCTGACCACTTCCCTGGGGAGCCTGTTCCAGTGCTCAACCACCTTCTGGGTGAAAAACCTTTTCCCGATATCCAATCTAAACTTCCCCTGACTCAGCTTCATGCTGTATCCTCGAGTCCTGTCATTGGTCATGAGAGTGAAGAGATCGAGAAAGTCAAACTATATTTAATAATTTAATTTAGGACACTGATTAAATATTCTTAATGAGCTTTTCTATGTTATTCTTTCCTTCTTTTTAGAAAAGTGTTTCTTACAGTCAAAATAGTGCTTTTGAGGTCCATAAGAATTTTTGGTACAAAAAATAAGTGTTTCTCTCTCTCTCTCTCTCTCTCTCTCTTATTGGTTATTTGAACACTTTGCTTTAAATTAAAGAGTTCTTTCTCACATCAAATGGTTCCATTAGGCACATTCAAGTAAAATAACAAAATATCCAAGTAACAATGACGAAAGCCAAACATGGCTTGATAAAAGTCTACAGAGAGTTCTGTCCATTCTCTGGAATGGAATAAAGTTGTCACTTCTGTCAGCCAGACACTCACAAAGTTTGATGTTAATATCCACTTCCATCATGCAGAATAGTTTCTTAAAGACAGAGTTCAGATACTCTACAGTCAGAAGAACCATCAACAAAGAATCTGCCTTTCAAAGGAAGCTGAGTAGCTCATTTTCATTCTCAGGAGGTATCTGAGTGAACACTGGCATCTGAAGTGGAGTGCTAGAGATTAAACCAGGGCAGTTAATGGCCATCAGATGTAACATTCTGGGTCCAGTCTAGAACAATCAGTGTCATACACCCAGTCATCACAATTATTCCGCTTAGAAAGAAGAATGAAGCCTGAAAAAAAGAAAACATAAAAGAAGTACTTCAGATTCTGCTATGATACTGTTGGTTAAGCCATGATATACACCTATAAAGTCATGCCTATATATAACAAAAATGCCATTGCTCATGAAGGACAAAGAGACAAGAGACCAAGTCAGTGATAAGGAGTTACCTTTCTCATACCTGGAGTCGTTTTTCAAATCAAAAAATACTTTTTTTTCAATATAGCAGACCTCACCCTCAACTAAGAAAAGTTAATGTAGTTGCTGATACCAGCCAGGTTATGCCACTGTGCTGACTTAACTCAGTATGTCTAAGATTTGATTCTGAGTCAGTATGTCTACGATCAGTAAGAGCACCAAGAACAGTCGGGATAAACCAAAAAGAGGTCAGCTTTTATGGGTTAAATGACATACATAAGTCTTAAAAGACTATTTAAAGATTGTTAAGCCTTTTTTAGTATAGCTGTTAAGGGTATTCTGTTGAAATCTGGTTCTTATCAGCAACGGAATGACCCAACTATTGTTGAGACTGGGGGCAAGGGCTGAGAGAAGTCACTGAAGTGAACTGAGCCTTGTGATGGCCAGCCCCTCAGCTTCTTAATTCCTATGCAGCTCCCACATTTTAAATTAAGATAACATTAAATACCAATTTACTGACTACCTTCACCAGGACTTTGAAATTCTTAAATCATGAAGCAGAAAATCAATTTTTTTTCTCTGAATTAGTCAACAAGTGTAATTACATATCTGTCTATACATACCCCAATCTTTTGCACTGATTTCATTGGTTCCTTCTTCACTAATTTGATATAGAAGGCAGAAGGAAGTATAAAGATCAGCATGGCAGCTGCAGAAGCACCTGTATAGAAAAAGCACAGAAAGAAATATTCATAAACAGGTAAACATACTTAAATTACATAGAAATTGCCTTTTCTAAAATGTGAAAGACTGCTTAAACTGACAAGGGAATGCTTACCAATGAATCCAAAGATGTCTCGAATAGTAGGGACAAAGATAACAAGCACATTGGTAAATGCCAGAAGAGCAATTGTAATGGAACAATGACGCCACCATTTGAACTCCTTCCCTGCCCACAGCAGCTGCGTAATGGAACTGCGGATCTTTTGAAGGGGGAGAAAAAAAAAAAAAAGACAGTTTAGTCTTTATTGTGGAAGACAGTGACTGTCACCTGAGTTAGACCTTCCTTCTAAAAGTATTTTAATGTTATTTTCCTGAACACTTCATATTTTAATAGAACTCAAAATATGAAAGAATTTTTTTTTTAGATATTTACTTTCTGCACTTGAGAGGCAGCTCTGTGTTTGTTTTTTTTTCCCTCTTTCAGTGATTTAGATTTTCAAAGCGCAGTCAGTAGCAGAAAAAAAAAAAACAACCAAAGAAAAACACCTGTCTTGAATAAAAATAAATTCCAGGGAATTTTGTAACATCTATGGATGCTGCTCAACAATACACACCTAAATGGTCTGATTGTGTCCAAAATGTATGTACAAAAACACGCTGACTTTTGTAAGCTGATAACACAACAGTGTAAATACTCTATATAAAAAGGGCCAATCTGTTTAATTTTCCCAGTTGACTTAATCATACCAGGAAAACAATATAACTGAATGTATTTGTACCTGCTGCTTCATAAATGTTGCATATTCATTTGAATTAACAGTATAGCTATATTTCATCAAGCTTATTGGAATGAATTTCTGTTTTCAGTTAAGAGAAAAACTCTCTAAACTAATAAACAGGAGTTCCCAAATCAGTAAATGACTGTAGGAGTACAGGGGATGAAAAAAAAACCTGGTAGTAAGACATAAAAAAAAAAAATTACGTACCGGGAAAATAACTACAGGTACAGTGAGGGTTACAGCCATAAGAACAGCGAGACGCACAATAAGAAGGAGAACATCAGCACCCAGATAAGCAGAGTAGGTATGAAGCAGTTCTGGTTCGACTTTTCCTATAAAGAAAATAGTATTTTAATTAGATGTAGTTGATATACTTTTCAAACAACTGCTTCTGCTCTAAATTTTAAGTAAATTTTACAGTCACATCAATATGAATTGAAAGCCTTAAGAGCTCCTGTAAGCATGTCTCCATTTTACACAGGGAAGACTTGGAGGCATGGAATCTGTTTTAATCCAATTTTAATCCCGTGTCTCGGACCTAAGTCTACCACTGATCTCCTTTTGGGTGTGCCCTTACAGAAGCACTAAAAACACCCCCAACAAACAGTGTGTACTTAGAACCCATAGTAAATGCTTTCTTGTTCTATCTTTAAAATAATACTGTGGTTTTGCAGAACGTAAGTAATTTAACAGAAAGCAGAGTAGGCAATATTCACCATAAAATGTCAGGTATCCAAAGAGAGCAGCCAATAAATACATGAGGAACATGGCAAAAAAAGATACATAGGATACATTCATCATTCTTTTACGGCTTCGGCTGTAAGGAAAAGAAACATTGTTAGTTGTGAGAACATACTGTTTCATACTACTTTGTTTGTTTAGTGGAATTATAGATAAATCTCTAACATTTACCTTTTCAGTTCTTCATAAATAGGAAGAATTGCAGGATGGCAGACAAAAGAAAATGTTAGGATTGGGACAGCATAGACAGTCTGAAAAAAAAGTATATTTTGTAAGTATCTCAACAAACACTAAAAAATTAAGTTTAGAAATAATCATTTGTAGATTCTTCAGTTTTGACTTAGGCATTAGTTTATTTTTTGAAGAAAACTAGCTATTCTTTACACCAGAAACTTTAGAATAAATTAAAACAAGTTTGTGTTTTCTTAAACCCAGACCCTGAGGACCAAATCATCTCAAATGTCACTGAAGTCCATGCCGATCTGACTGTATCTGCATTCAAAATTATGTTCTGTAACTCACAGGCTTAAGCCACTACAGCCTGATCTTGGTATTAGGTATTACACATACTTCTCCATGTGTGGACATTCACCACTGCAATTGGGAGCATTCATGACTCAAGAATTTGTGACTGGGAACAAGTCTATCCCAAACCCTGGCAAACACTTCCTATTTGCATGCTTTTACAATTTTATTTCCTTCATCTTCTTCTGCAATCAACTTTTTAAAATGCTTCACTAGCTTACTCGACCAAGGTTGAGAAATGCCGTGCTGAAGAATGAAAGATATATTTTTTGCCACTCAAACAGGCACATCAAGCTCTGCTAATTTCTCTGTATTTGGAATGTGGAAACACCCAGTCCACATGAAGTAAACAGTGCCCAAGTCTACTGGAACAGAAAGTCTTAACACATCCCAAGTTTAGAACTGGGCAAATACTTGAAAGAAAAATGACCTAATTTATCTGCTATGTATTTAGTCTCAGTTATTTTCAACAGAGTGTTTGATTTCAGTCAGTTACCTGTGAATTGAAGATGAAATATTTTGGCTTGCACATATCATTTGTTATGTTTTCATTTACCAAAGGTGCTAGTGTTCCATTTAATAATGTCGCATTCATAATGTCACTGTCCATAGGACAAGGAATCTGAAACATCTTCCAAATTACCTAGAAATAAAGCCATGCATTTATTATTACTTTGACTAATGCAAGATGTGAAAATTTTCAGAAACTGTGTTTAATTTCACTTTGAAACACAGTTTTACAAGCACTGAATCTCAACAAGATTATACTTACAACAATCAGAAAGAAGACCATGCAAAGTAAGGAAAAGCCGCTGGTATAGCCCAAATACCCTGTGACCAAGAAAGATAAAAAAAAAAAAAATCTAAGGTACAATAAACAGAAACACCATTCAAGTCAAAACATCATGACAAAATATATTCTATCAGTGATAGTTTTAGATTGTGATTTTCTTAGCGTTACACACAGAACTACTTAATTATTCATTGACTTTCTGCTAATCTCAACCCAGATCTGAAAATTCTGAAAGACATATTAGGGTCTGTACATACAGTGAGTCTGTAGTATTAAATTTTTAATTTAACTTATAAGAAAAAAAATGCGAACTAAAAAAACCCACAGCAACAACTATATGAATTGTTTATTGTATAAGAAGAATGATTATACAGTTAATTCTTATAGCATGTGCTACTAGATAACTTAGCCTTTTCCCTTCTGTTTTCATTGATTTACTTAATTTCTAGAAATAGTAACTTGATAAATAAATTTGAGACACTCGATTATTAAGATTCTACTACAAGATTCTCTGTACAAATAAGTGTGTTAACTGAATTATTCACATATATAACTGAATTACAGCCATTTCAGAGAAAGCATCTGGTATGAATATTCTGCTGATGCTTGGGATCCAAAATGAAAAGACACTGCAATTTAACTGCCCAGGGTCATCCCTATTCTTTGGAGACTCTTATAGGACAGCTAATAACAATATTATATTATTTCACTACTGACCAAAAGAGGTCAAACTTTGTAATAAGAACAGAAAGTTACTGCTGACCTTGTTCTAAAGCCACCTATTTACTGTTCTTTCATTTTCCAAAAACGTATCTGTAATTTAGGATACTTGTATTGATTAATTTTTTTCTTTTTTTCAAGTAGACTGATAGCAATTACCTATACACTAATTAGTCCCAAGAAATGAGTTTGGGAACAGTTGTTACTTCACATAGCATGAAGACTCAAACATTGTATCAATCCACTTCCCCACAGTATTTTCAATGTTTTTTTAATTTTGATTGCACTCTCCTGCTTACCTAAATTTTTCAGTAAGGACAGGGGAAGAATGAGGATGACAGACACCAGCAGCACTAAATAGTCACCATTGAGATACCATTCTCTGTAGAAAAAAAAATAATATTTTTAAGTAATCAAGTATTTAAAAATTACATTTTCAGTTTAGTCTTCACTCATCTTTTATAACATATGGCTCCTCAAAAATATGCACTACCTGACGTCACAAAGGATTGGTGTTCAATTTCTTTTATGGGCCTAATGCTCTACAATAGCTTCTTATCTCACCCCAAACCTGCATTGTGCCTTTCCTTTAGTGTCCTTTTATAAAAATAATATGTATCTGGAAGTCAGAAGACAGAAAATTAAATGACTGATTAGAAAAAAAGTCAACTGGGATCAATCATGGAAAAAACAGTAATTTTCTTAAGTGTTGTCTCCCAACTCTCCAGATGTATTAGAATATTGGAGAGCCCCAACAGGGTTTCCACTTTAAACGGAAATAAAATTCTGTTGGGTGCCCTGCGGGAGTTAAAGAAAAACAGGTGAGGGCTGAAGGTAAGGCAGTAGCTCAAGCCCACTGGCTGAGAAAACTCCAACAAGCACTGGGAGTCTCTTGGAGGCACATTTAGTCCCTTTCAGTAGGGAAAGCATGGTAAGAACCTCAGAATTTTTTTCCTTCGGAACATTTTTGCCACTTATTCCATAAGAAGCAGCAGCTATTTTTTGACAAAACATTTTGGAGCATTAGGAGATTAACATATTTTTTGAAACACAGAAAAACAAAGTTCTACAGGGTCATCCTATATGCTTTAAGCAATTTAAGTAATATTAAGCATTTATTCCCAAATATTAATATTTTACATCCTGTTATGGTGTCATCTAACAGTATTTATTTTAAAATGCAATGTATACTATTGAGTTAAAAGAAAAATTATTTAATTGGAAATTTGTATATGCAAACATAATTGCTGAGATATAACCTTTTACATGGTAGTGGAAATACGAAATAATTAACTGACTTGCTCTGGATTTATGATGTAAATGCAAAAACAATTTGGTCATCTCTTTACTCAGTTTTATCTGGGATAACTAGATGTAGAAAGGACTATTTTAGAAACTTCAAATGTATAGGACACTAACATCATACACTTTTTTTAAATGTAGCAGTCTTGTGGTAAATTTAAAAGAAATCACAGCACAGAGACTTTGCATTTGAATTTGAATGTGAATGTCATAAGAATGTGCACTGTTATTGTGCATACCTCATAAAGAGGCTATCAGGGCTTTCAGATCAAGGACTTCAAAGATTTTCTGTGTTAAAGAGTAAGAATGGGATTGTGCAACTTTAAATACAGCTAATTATTTTAAAAGTTGCTAAACAAATTTTAATAATGGAGCTAGTATCTATGATATTGTCTCAGAATTTTCAGATCTTTTACAGTAAGCATTATTTTGGGACATTTAAACAGGTAAGTGCTTACATTTTAGGCACCAGGCTGCCAGAGTGGAATCCATGCCAATGGTAGCCACCCAGACTCCCCTAAGCAATGCATGGAGAGAGTCAGTTAAACGGGGTTCACAATTGCCAGAGCACTGAGAAAATATTTACTTTCAACCTGTGTACAGCTACCTAGTGCCAGCCAACAAGAAAACATTTAAAATACAGATCTTGATTTCTTAATTTTCTCTGCCAGATTTGCAAAGCAGCAGCTGTATCCAGTGAGATTCACAGCCTTTAACTTTCCTTCTTGAACAATTTTGAATTCTTTACTGAAGATGGGACAGTTAAAAATATTTGCCTCCAAGCCCCCTTCTAAGTACTGGTTACTCCAGGGACTTTCTTAAGAATTAAAAAATAAGGACTTGAATTCAGCCAAAGGAGAGAAATGAACCTTCCCAGCAAAGAATTTGTAAATATAACACTACTAAGTAGATGGGGTAGGTGCAGCATTTGAGTACATTTAAAAAAAAAAAAAAAAAAAAAAAAAAAAGATGGCTAGCGTTGTTACAACAGTATCTATCAGCAAGCTGTACGAACACCACCAAATGGCTTGAACAACCCTTGGGGAACACAGGCAGAAAAATGCCTACCTTCTGAACTCAGGCTTAGGTGTAAGTTGGAGTCTTGAGCTGCTCAGCCCTCTCAAGACTGGGACACTTCAGGACAAGGCACAGAAGTACAACTCTGAAGAGTGAGATTTATAGCACTTAACTCTATCCATCTGAACTCAGGCATCTTGTTTTTACACACCCTCTCAATACAGAGTGATATGATTAACTGTTCTGTGGAGATGCCCAAAACACGTGTCTAAGACAGGTACGCTGAACTGACCACTACAGAGGATCACTCTTCTCCACCGATTATACAATGACCAGAGTAATGATGAGCTCAAAATCTAACTTTCAGAGGGTATGGTTAGATAAAATTAACCTTATCTGGGGCACCTATACTTAAAGCCAAGGATGAAAGCCACTCTGGAGTTAAGGTGTCTCCAGGGCTAGATGGCAAGGCATCCACCAGTTTAGTCTTGGGCATGGAAACTCTGGTTTAGGTCCCAGATTTAGTCCCCCTGTCTTTTTGAGAACTTTTTTGTTGCTTAAGACATTCATTGCAAACTGCACCTTAATCTTATATTTAAACACTTCCCAAAATATTAACACTAGAAAACCAAATTAATCAGACCAAACCAGTTAGATGCAGTAAGAAAAAAAACAACAAAACAAAACCAAAACCAAAACGCCAACCATAACCACATTTATCTTTCCTTAGAGTATGTACTGACTGGTACATACATGAACTTACCTGATATTCTTTAGAGAACAGCTTTCTGTAATATGATGCGATACCTGTATTTTTCTACCTTTTTCCCAGGTCAGGCTGGATCTAAATAAAGTGAAGCACTCAGGGGAAGGGAAAACTTACTGTATCTCTGTCTGAGTAAGAAGCTACCCTACGGTGTACCGGTGGTCTTCATATAAAAATATATACAGTCTCCGTATTTGTTTCTCCTAATAGTTTCTCTGATGAGGAGTTCTAACACCTACCCTGTAGTCTCTTCGATGTTCATAAATGTCTTGATGACCAATGGTAACTCATATTTCACTATGAAGAGGTAGCTTGACATAGCTGTAGGTGAATAACATCATAGATCATTACAAATATAGAATATGCCACACGATGCAAGAATCACATAACATGTTTCATAACTTCACTTGAACACAAGCGGTTAATGAACACATGTTGCGTGAAAGTAAGTCTCCAAGAATAAGTAGGGAACAATTACTATTGACAGTACAGACATTTTAAGATCTTGTCCTCACCTCCAATGTTCTGCATCGTAATTGATCCAGAAGCAGCAAGTTTTCCAGCCATACCAAAAGCCTTCATTCCCAACTGTTCATACAACAAAGATCCTAAAAGAAAACAGAATATTCCATTGGAAGGGTGTGTTTCACCAAGATACCATATGAAACAAATACCATGCCTGTAATATAGTAATTTGCCATACCTCCTTCATTGGCAGTCTTCAAAAGAAGATGCACTGAATACAAAGAAAATATTGAGACAAACAGCAGGAGTATCCTGGGGAGAGAAAAACATGCAAATTTGTAATAGACATAAATGACTTATTGTAGCCCTATTAAATAAAGATGTATCAAACATAAGCATTATTCATATTAAAATATTACCTCGGAAAAAAATGTAAATTCTAAGGTCAGCTAAAAGCATTTTGAAAACCTAATTAATGCCTCATTTAGAAAGGATTTGATACTAAATTGCATTTCAGAAGCATACACAGAAATTCTAGTGCAAGATTAAACAACGCTTCTATTTAGTGTAAAGTGGCATTAGCATCGCCAAGCTGTCAGGCTATTATAATTGGCTACATTTGATATAAATAACAAAGTATCAACGGGAATGGTGGTTGGGTGGGGTTGTATCCTTGTAAGACACTGTATTTCTCCTGTCCTCCTATCCTTGTTCAACAGTGTGTCATGCACCCATTGAATACAGTTGTGACTAACTGCAAGTGAAGATTATCTCTTGTTCTTAAAAGAAACCAGCTTTTCAGCTTAAACATATTTTATGTCTTTTTTAATGTAAAGATGAAACTGCAAAAGCCTTAAAGAATTGTCTGAAAATTCAGGCACATTGAGAGCTGTGTTTTCAAATGGAAATATGTATCTATTGTCACTAAAAAAAAAATAAAAAAAAATTAAAAATTCTTTCCTCAAAAGTTAACTCTTCAGGTGTGCTTACATGGGAATTGCTAGTGGCTTATCTTTCCCACAGCTTTTACAGGCAATGCATGTTATTTCCAGAAGCACGTGTGAATCACCTAAAATGCAGATCTCTCAACAATTCTCTCCCTCAACAAATGCACCTTCTGGAGTGGCACGCTAGGGGGGACTTCTCAGCTGCTGAAGAACACAGTGGAAAATTACAATACATTCAAAAAACCCTCTGGTCCTTCTTATACCAGTACAAGCATTCTGCTTTACAAGAAACCTAAGAATCAGCATATCTGCTTAAAAATGGCAAGCTGCATTTAGCACTCCCAGAATACCCTTTACATTTCCTTTTGTGACATTTTTAATGTTGGTGAAATTAGTAAATGCAGCACAAAGAACCAGAAACCAGAAGATTTGAGAAAAACTCCACAGATCTGTACAGGGGATTCAGGAAACTTGTCTTACGGTGCTAATTCAAGACCAACACATGCACACAAATAAACCTATTTCTGACAGATAGAGGTTAACTAGGATTTTACTCAGCCATCAGCTAGGAACAGCACAGCTGAGATGCGCTGTTACTTTATTTTACTTTAATGTACTTTTACATTACTTTAAAACAGCAGAGATCCTGGACCCCTCAGTCCTAACCTGGAATGGCTGCCTACAGTGTTGACAAGATCAGTCAGCAAATTCATCCTGAAGCTCACTCTGATTCTGGCTTCCAGACCATACTATTTATTTATTTAGTGCTGACACAAGTGACAAGTCACAGCACTGACACAAGTGATTCCACAGTCTTCGAAGAATTTACCGCCTTAATCAACTGCATCTGGATCTGAATCTATAACCTAGTTATTAAAGCATGCCTGTAATGCCCTCACTGTCATCGTAAATCCTCAGTATCATCAGTGATCAACTGCTTCCCTGCCTCAGGACTATACAAACTATACTAATTTTTAAAAGGTAACAAGTTTGTCTTTGAAACAGTCCTAATGTAAGTAAATCTGAATGCAGTACCTGGACATGAAAGGCAACTGACGTCAGCACTCGATTGCTAAATTGACAGTTTTGAACATTTTTTCTGTAGAAAAAAAGGACCCATCAAGTCTGTTCAAATACCTTAAATTCTCTTTTTTCCTCTCCTCAGAGACATTCTAATGTGCATTATGCTGATTACATGTGCTGCAAAACATCTTTAGAGTATGAAACTGATGTGTTGAAATATAGAGTATCTATCTCTTCTGAATTCATGCTAAGTTGTTCATTCAGTTTATCATCATCTAAGTAAGTGAAAATCTTAGTAAAAGATCAACAAATCACCATATACTTTAAATAAAACCTTTCAGATCAGAACTTTATACCTTAGTATACCTTAGTTTCCTCAGAAAATTTGAATCCCACCCTGATACACTCTGAAACATCTGGAAGTAAATCTAAGTTACTTTCTAGAAATCTGGCAACAGAGTCAGAGAAATTTCGAACTAAACATTATTCTTCACATGTTCTTCAACATTCAGCACATTTATCCATTTCCAGGATAAAAGCACAAAGTTCCTTTAAACATATCCATGGATACTCATTTGCAGCCAAACCGCTGATGTTACATGTCATGTGTGCTGAACTGCCTTCGATACACGAAAAATGTAGTTTCCCAAGATGACTGAAAGCACTGTACATAATTTGTACAGTTTTCTCATGTAATTTCCAACTACATTACTACAGTCTATCTTACACCCGAAAGCTTTTGCCAATGTAGATATATCAATAAAGGTATGATGGTTATTCCACATTCCTCCCTGGCAGGCAGACAGCAATTTTTTGGCGTAACTGAAACCAGTTCCCCGAATTGAGTAAAAGCACAGCAGTAAAAAGGATTTCTTTATTGGTGTAAGTACATTGTAAGTCTGTAGGCACAATGATATCGGTTGAGAAGAAGGATATTACGTCCCTGACTGGGACTTGGATAACAGAACTTTCAAGGGAATTCTATCAGTTTTTCATGAAAAAACTACAACTAGTAGTAAAATATTTCTGTATAATACTGTAAAATATTTCTGTGGGTTGCAGAACTTGCAATGAAGCTGTTTAATTTTTGCAAATCCTTCTGAATGTATCACAGTCTTTAAATTTAAAACAAGTCATAAATCCTAAAATGCAATTCTGCACCTATGGAAACGACTGGATGTTTTCTAGAGCTCATATTCTTACACCAAGTATTTTTCCATTAGGAATTACACAGCAGAAAGATATTTTTTTTTTTTTTATGAACCAAAAGATACTTACACAAAAAGAGCAATTCCGGTGTTAGCCATGGCAAAAGAAAGACCAAGGATGCCACTACCCACAATAGCATTGCTCAGATTAAATACTGACATTCCAAAGGAAGTAGTACCCGGATGCTGAGAAAAGGGAGACAGGTAATAATTAATAGAAAGTTATTACTCATCTCAGAATTAAAACAAATATAATTTTGGCAATACATTTCTGTTTATTTATTTGAAACGTCATTGCTTATATACTTACATACTGAGTTTCATATTTCTTCTTTCCAAGATTGGAGTCGAGCAAGAAATTTTGATTTTCTGGATCAATATCTGCATAGTGGCTGCAAAACAACATTGCATCGTTAGTGACTGTCACGGGCAACTCGCATATTCACTTCCCATTCAGCACTTCCAATACATTTCAAAGGAAACGAGCAAACCGACGAACAGCCCCAAAAGAACCACCCCACCTGCCGCTCTGTCAGCGCACGGAGCGTCGCGCCCGTCTCCGCCCGCAGTCATTCCCGTGTTTCCGTGTGCCGACGAACACGGGGCACCACCGGGTGCCCGCCTGGGTGCCGCCCGTGGCCGGCGCCGCGGAGCCCGCTCACCTCTTCATGGCGGCCGGCTTGGTGGGGTACGGGTAGCTGAAGTCGTTGCTGTTGGAGCTGTAGCTGGAGCTGTCCTCGTCGGGGGAGATGTTGAACTTGCCCATCTCGGCGCTGCTCATGCTGGCGGGGCCGCTCTTTTGTCCTTGCCGGCGGGACTCGCCGCGCCTGCGGAGGGGGCGGGAGGCGACGTCAGTGCCGCAGCGGGCGCGCGCCCGTCACGTGGCCGCGCGGCCCCCGCCCGCCGCCGAGTGGAAAAGTACCAGGCGCGCGGGGCGGGGGGCGCGCGGACAAAGGTGAGAGCGCGCGGGGCGGGGGCGGCGCGGCCGGACCGCGCTGGGACCGGCCCGGGCAGCGGCACCGCCGCGCTGCGCTGTCCTCCTGCCCTCCCCGGAACACCCCGCCTCCCCGCCCCGACAGCGGAGCGCAGACTGATGCAACACCGACGGGTGATTGTCACATAGGCTGCCGGAGCCTCCCGCCCCGCGGCTGTCCCTGTGTTTACCTCCCTCCTCCCCGCGGCGACACCGCGCATCCCGGCGTTTTCAATGGAAAAACGCAAATCGGTCGCGGGACTGCGTCGCGCCGCAGTCGCTCTGCGGGTTTGCCACCTTTCCGGCATGCAGCGGCAGCGCGTCCCTATACTCGTCCCGGCGGAGCCCGGCGGGGTCTTGGCGACAAGCCGGGGCGCTGCCGCCGTACAAGGCGCGAAGGACGAGCCGCGCTCCGTCTGGAGAGTCCCCCCGTTCCTCCTGGCGGCCCGGTAACAGCCGGCCCCTGCCGTACCTTCTGCGCAAGAGCTTGAAAGCGAGTTTTTTCTCCCGAAGCCTCGAAATAAGGAGATGCTCTTCTCTCTGCTGCTGCTTCTTGCAAGGGAAAAAAAGCCCTTAACTATAAAACGTCAGCGAAAACAAACCCTAAATAAACAAAGGTAGAAAAAAATCACGTAAAAAACCCCAGCGGTATCAAAGGGAAAGAAAATATTGCGTCCGTGGGGCTCCGACGTCTCTCACGATCTGACGGCCCCCTCGGGGCGCCGCCGCTCTTCACGCAGGAATGTGGGCGTGTCATCCGAGGGGCGCGGCGTCCGCCCGCCGCCGCACCGCCCCCGCCCTGCCCGACTGACCCCCTGCCGCCGCCCGGGCAGGGGCTGGGGGGGGGCATCCGCGGCGGGGGGGGCGCCTCCGACTGAGGGGTGGGAGCCGGTCGCCGGTGTGTGCCCGGCGGGGGTCGGGAGCGGGGTCGTAGCACATATGAGCCGCGCAGCTCTCCCGTGTTTACACTGGGGGCACTGGTTTACACGGCGGAGACAGGACGCTGCGGTGCTTGTCAAGAGCGCCCTGCCTGAGAGGTGCTTCCACCGGCCCGGTGCAGCATCCGCAGCGTTACTGCAGCACCGGGTGGGTACCGGCTTCACCCAGGGCTGCCTCTCCGTTTCCCCCCCGCGCCTGCCTCTGGCGCGCTGCCGAGCTCCGGCGCTGGCGTTTCCCAGTGGCTGGGTGCGTGGCAGGAGACGAGGTGCTACCGACCCATCATAGTTCCTCGCTGCAGTCACTCCCTATTTTTAACACATGAGCAAGCAGCGGTGCATGTGCAAGCCTAGACCCCGGTGGCAGCCGACAGGCTTCCCGAACGTTTCCTCCGGGAATGACAGCCTCCCCCTGGTGATGCGATTTACGATATACCCCACTGTAAGGAAGAGAGGGGGTAACAACATCCTGCTTCCTCTTCCTCAGGTAACCGCTCCAGAAAACTTGGAAGGCTTTGCTACTTGGTCCTCCGTGGGCGGCGGCTCTTTACTGTCCGCCCCAGCCTCTCACACACACGCTGCAAGGCCACAGCCCCGGAGGAGTCTCGGCGCGGGTAGTGGGGGCCCATTTGGCTGCTGTCTCTAGAGGAGCCAGGAGTTGCAAGGCAGCCTCTCCCCTCCCCAGCTCCTGACCCCTCGGCAGCAATGCACTCCCACGCCAATCTGGTGCTGCCAGCCTCGAGCGTGTAGGATGTTCAGCCACTGAGTTGTTTGGCCCCTCTAGGTTATCGCCCTCCCTCCCTCCTTCGCTGCGAGAGCACGTGGAAGTTGCGTGCGGCGCTTCCTGGCTGCTGTCCCGGCGGCGGGGCGGCCGCAGGGACACGGGATCAGCTCACACCTTCGAGGGGCAGCGAGCCCTCACCACCCCTACCCGCTTCTGGCCCCACTGCAGTGCCTGCGGCTTTGCCGGGGGACAGGCGGGACCACCGGTGGCTCTGCCGCGGCCCGAGGCGGCGACACCCGCCCGTAACAGCCGCAGAACGTTCTGGAGCGCCCCCGCTGGGATGGGGGGCGGGCGGTGGAAGCGAGGAAGGGGCGGGGACCGGCGAGGGCACGCGCAGGAGATGCAGAAGCCGAAAATTTTCCATCACTGCAGTGGTACCCCCGCCCCCATCCGGCGCGGCGCGTCATGCTCCCCCCCCCGCTGCAGCCCGGCGGGGCGGAGCAGGAGCGGGCGGGATAGGTTGCGGCGCCTTCCCGCGCAGCCCCGGGGCGCGGAGGGGCGGCGGGGTCGCACCTGCTTCCGCGGTTGTCGGGGTTTGAATGACCTCGGAGCGCAGCTCGGGGCTTTCTGGGGCTGAGCTGCCTCCCGCCCTGCCCACCTGTCCTCGCAGGGCGTCCGTCTTTGCCCCGTGTGCGGGCGCGGCGGACCACGGCTTGGGGTGCCTGTGACCGTGACGGGTGGTGAAGGCGCCCCAGGAGTGCCAGGACACGGCGTTTTCGACCCTCTGAAAATCCGACTGCACAACGGGCAATTTGCCAAGGCTTCAGCACCCTGACGGGTTAAGGCGAAGGGCTGTGCCGCTACCCTTTCGCAACGCAATCACAGTGATATGTAAATAGCGCTGCTGCGGGGAAGGCAGGGCACGCTCCTTTTCCAAGGGGAACGGTGGCTTTTGCAGTCGGTCCCATTCTCCGGATGTCAGCAGTTCTGTGAAATTACAGTTTACGTGACAGAGGTCAAGGTGACCTGTTTGTTGTGGGTTTTGCCAGTGTAGCAACAACCGGAATGACGTATTCTTAACGTTTTAAGGACTGTATCATCCTTTTCAGGGCGAACACAGAGATTGGGTGCATAGTAAAGCGTCCCACATGCGTCTGATAAATACAGCAACCATCTTTATAGATGTGATCTGGTTCCCGTAGACGGTACAGCTTTTAAAAAAGTTAAAACTAGATTTTTTTAGCAAAATAAAAGTTTTACTCTACAAGTGCTTGATTTTTTTTTTTCCAGAACTGTCCTCATTTTATATGGAAAAAGATGATGAGGCTTTGTTCATCGTTTATGAGAAAAAAAATTGGTGAAATGCATTCAGGAAGAAAAATTGCTATTTTTCTAATGGCCCCATTATTGGAAGGTTCACTCTGCAACACGCTAGTGCAATCTGCACTGCTCCAGAACAGGGAGTCTTTAAAATTTTACCCATACAGTCTGTTTGCTGGTTCAAATGATCTGCTTTTTCAAGTGGTTTTAAGTAATGCCTCGCTGATTGAATTATAATTTTCCTGACTTCGCAACTGCCAAGAATGTCCTTGGCAAAACATACATACAATGTGTTTCGTCCAATTTTGAAATGTATTTTGTAATCGAAATAATAAAAGTTAATATTCATCAGTTCCTCCCACCATAGTTTCAACGATTCATCTGTTTTCATTGTCATGCTTTTCTTTCTTTTTTTAGTGTTCTTGTGTTCTTTTTTCCTTTCCTTTGTTTTCATCCTCCTTATCCCTAAGTCACCCTCATTTTTATACCTTCCATTTGTTTGCTTTTTATTTTGTTCTTTTGTGCGCCTTTACTTTTTGGAAGCTTCCTTACAAAGTCTGAGCATTTAGGATAGTTAAGAATTAACTTTTTTACTTTTAATCTGGAGATTCTGTTTCTGCTTTATATGCTCATAAGATACCCCAGTACAGTTCTGAACACTAAAGACTGCTAAAGATTATTTTTTTTAATACTGAAAAACAGGTTTCTGTGTTTTCTTTAATACATAGCTGTGGGTGATGTCTTGTTCTTAGTCAGGTTTCCCTTGCTGAAAGACTTTCTAATCATTTAGGGGGGCTTTATGCTTTCACAAGAAAACAAAACCAGACAAACAAAAAAAAAGTTATGCTGTTCTAAGGCTGTCATAAAACTATAAGTTAGTTGTTAGGTGTTGTAAAAATGGAGTTGTGTTCAGTTACACAGGTAGAAACTAGTTAGTTTTCAATATATTACATGGGAAGGTAATGGGGTTTTTGTAGCTGCAGAGCTGTCTTCTGAGTGCTTCTAAAGGTTGGTTTGGTTGGTTTGCAGCGAAGACTGCACTGTAGATTCACCCCTCCTGTAACATCGCCTGCCATTTTTCAGCCTGTGAATGGTTTCTTTTTAAATTTGATTAGTTGTTTTTATGTTTAGAAAAAGAAGTACCTGGCAAGAGCCCATGTTTTTTCTTTGCTCATGTTTTAGCAAATAAAGGTCTTTATAATATGGGAGGTTCTTGTTTCATGCTATTTCTTCCAACATACATAAACAAACCTTGTGGGATACCATAAAACTATCTGTAGCATATGCCCAGTAGAGCCATTTATGTTTATGGTATGCATGGAAAAGTTTTGTGTGCAGTAATACTGTCAAAGTCAAGTCCATCCACATGTTTTTTAGATGATACTTTCTAAATTGCCCAAAGGATATCTAATGAAATATGTAATATCTTATGTCAAAGCACTCTGTACTAATAGCTACATAACATTCATTTTGTCTGTGCCTAGTATGAATAATATAAAAATCCCAGCAGAGTAAGGATCTGCATCAGATGAAATCATCAGTACTGTCAAGAGTCTGGGGAAGGATGGTAATGTACACCTGAGAACTGTATTGTGTCCTGAATGAAACCTCTGCACAGTGATCTCCTCTGCATGACAGATGTGGTCTGTCACGAGGAAGAGCTGGAAGTGCGGATGAGTGGGAAAAATGAGGATTCCTGGTTTTGCTGTGTAGACTCAGCGGTCCACAAAGATGCAGGCAGGGCTAATGGGTTCTTACCGTTCTTCCAACCAGTTTGGTTCATGATTCTTACCTCACATGGACTGCCTGTGGCATGCAATTAATGAAATCATGGGTACTGATTATATGCTTTCTTAAACAAAACTTCCACTGAAGCCAAGAAGTATTACAAGTGCATAAGGAATGAAGGATTGCATATCCTGCCTCTTGGGCTTTGTGATGGTGCGTTGGAGTTACATATTAAACTTGGTTTAAGCCTTAATTTTTTCCCTCTGTGTTTATCCTAGTCTAGTTTCAGTTTTGCAATGTGAAAGCAACAAAATCACTATGTAAGAATATAAGCAGCAGCATTTTATCAAAAAATATTACATTCAATATAATTAGAACTTGGATTTAAGGCAAAAATAGGGAGAGATTTTGAGTCTGAGTTTTAAAGCCATCTGATTGTGCTGTTATACTGCAATAAACTCAAAACAGTGGGAGCTGCATGAGATATATAGTACTAATCATTTGCAAGAAATTGTCAGCCTTAAATGGACATTGTCAGCTGCTATAAAAATAACTTTTACTTTATATTTTGAACTCTGTAACATTTTTAGGGGTTTTAAAAATAGCATTTCTCACTAATCTTGGTTCATCTTTTCCGCTCAACAAACACTGATTTTTTTTCTCCTGTGTGAAAGTCTTTAAGGCTGGGTTTTGGTTATTTTTTTTTAATAATACAAATCTAGAAAAGCTTTGGAAATGGTATTTGTTAATTAGCTGAAACTCTTGTAGTTTTCTATAAGCCCTCCCACATATTTTTGTTTAGATCCTTACAGGAATAAGAACTATTATTTTTGTTCTTTTACCATTTGCTAGTGGCACAGAGTACAATTTAAGATATGCATTTGGATTTCCAGAGATGTTATTGCCATAATTACAGCAGTCTGTACATCAGTATCACTTATTATGTCAGCAGATCTTTGAGGATATTGTTTGTCAACTAACCTTTTAAAAGTTGC